AGGCCTGTTGTCCAACAGCCATTCTGGATTTCTCTTTATTGGTCTCCTTGGATTTCAAGCTGTCTTCTTTCTTATTGTTAACTCTCAGGTTACTGGACAACGTTCTCATTGTAACTCCTCTGGGCCGCACTTGCATTCTCCTATATCTGAAAATATCTTCATTTAGCCCTCCTCATTTGTGATTTACAGTTTGACTTAGTACAGAACTTTAGGTTAAGAAGAAGAGTTTTGACATTTTGATTTGTTAATAATTTACATTTTATTTCACTGTAGTTAGAGAATACAATATGTAATTTCTCCTTTTAAAAATCAGAGTTTTCTTTGTCACCTGCTATAAAGTCACTTTGTTGTATATGTTGTCTGGACACTTGAAAAGGAAGTGTATTTTCTGTTAATAGAGTTTGATAAGTATTTATTATAAAAACCTTTAAAATTATATAATCCAGATTGTTTTCACTCTTGTTTACTTTTGTCTATTTCTCCATCAAGAAGTCTGACAGACATGTATTATCTTCTGTTCTTCTTATGCAATTTTTAGCATATTAATATTAACAATATTCTTATTGAGAAATATACTCTATATTAACAAAAAATGACTCAATTTGTTTCCTTAAAAGTGTTTTGACTTGCATTTGACTTCATCTGATGTAAATATTAAGATGTGTTATGTTTTAGTTTACAGTAGCTGTGTGTATCTTTGTTCATCTGATTACTTAAAAAATTTCTTAAACTGCCATGTTTATTTCTTCACAGATTTTATAAACTCTAATGTTAGCAATTGTCCCAGTGTGGGTGTTATTTTTTTAATGATAGCTTAATCATTATTGTTATAACCATATTTATTCTCTTTTTTAAAAAGATTTTATTTATTTATTTTAAAAGATTTTATTTTTATTATTTTAAAATATATTTTATTGATTATGTCATTACAGTTCTATTCCCCCCTTCATTCCCCTCCACCCTGCACACCCCTCCCCCACCATGTCCCCCCTTTAGTTTACGACCATGTGTCTCAAGTTCTTTAGATTCTATATTTCCCATACTATTCTTGCCCTCCCCCTATCTATTTTCTACCTACCATCTATGCTACTTATTTTCTGTACCTTCTCCCCCTTCTCCTTCTCCCACTCCCCTGTTGCTAACCCTCCATGAGATCTTCATTTCTATATTTCTACTCCTGATCTAGCTGTCCTTTTAGTTTGTATTTGTTTTAGGTGTGGTTGTTAATAACTGTGAGTTTGCTGTCCTTTCACTGTTCATCTTTTTTATCTTCTTTTTCTTAGGTAAGTCCCTTTAACATTTCATATAATAAGGGCTTGGTGATGATGAACTCCTTAAATTTGATCTTATCTGAGAAGCACTTTATCTGTCCTTCCATTCTAAATGAAAGTTTTGCTGGATAGAGTAATCTTGGTTGTAGGTCTTTGGATTTCATGACTTGGAATACCTCTTTCCAGTCCCTTCTTGGATGTAAGGTCTCTTTTGAGAAATCTGCTGACAGTCTGATGGGAACTCTTTTGTAGGTGACTGTCCCCTTATCTCTCGCTGCTTCTAGGATTCTCTCCTTCATTTTAATTTTGGCTAATGTAATTATGATGTGCCTTGGTGTGTTCCTTCTTGGGTCCACCTTCTTTGGGACTCTCTGAGCTTCCTGGATTTCCTGGAAGTCTATTTCCTTTGCCAGATTAAGGAAATTCTCCTTTATTATTTGTTCAAATAAGTTTTCCACTGGTGGCTGTTTCTCTTCCCCTTCTGGTACCCCTATAATTCGGATGTTGGAACATTTAAAGATGTCCTGGAGGTTCCTAAGCCTCTCCTCATTTTTTTGAATTCTCGTTTCTTCATCCTTTTCTGTTTGGTCATTTTTTTTCCTCTTTCTGGTCTACTCCTTTGATTTGAGTCCCAGTTTTCTTTCCATTACTATTGGTTTCCTGTGCATTTCCATTCATTTCAATTAGTTTAGCATTCATATGTTCCTCTAATTTGTGACTAAAATCAACCAGTTCTGTGAGCATCCTGATCACTAATGTTTTGAACTGTGCATCTGAAAGTTTGGCTATTTCTTGGTCACTTAGATTTATTGGCTCTGGGGCTCTGAGTTGTTCTTGAACCATGTTTTTATCTGTTTGTGCCCGTTACATATGAGGAGTAGAGCCTTAGTTGTTTACCAGGGTGGGGCCACCCAGGTTGCTGGTTTGTGACTCTGTATGTGGGGGCGGGGTTAGAGAGGGACAATGGCGGTCCCCTCTACCACTTTTCACCACTGGGGCCTGCACAGTCTGTCTCACCGCTTCGCTCATTCACCAGTTTATCTGCGCTCAACTGTGTGACTTTGGTCAGCCCTCAGTGAGTCTACCGCCTTTTGCCCTCAGTGGGTCTGCCTGCTACTCCACACCTGGGATCTGCCTACAGCTGCTGACATGCCTGGGTTGCGCACCCCGGTTGGTCGGGTGGATCTTTCCTGCCCGACCCCACTCTGCTGCTGGCTCTGCCCCTCTTACCAGTTTGGCTGAAGGGTTCGTTGTTATCAGACTTCTGTGTAGTTCAATTTTCTGTGGTTTGGCTGCGTTTTTGTTGCTAAAACTTTGTTGTTTTTAAACTTGGTTGTGTGAGAAGGTGCAGTGCTTCCACCTACTCCATCTTGGCAGAAGTCCACCATATTTGTTCTTAATCTTATTCCTTTGTTTTATACTTCTGTGGCTGTTCCCTTGATTTTTTATTTTCTATCAGTATTTTGCCATATTAACTCTATTTAGTTTTAAAATTTAAAGCTTTGTTATTTTAATTCATCTAGAATTTAACTTTAACAAATAAGAGTCAAATAATAAACAATATATTATGTATTATATAAATATTACATTTATAGAAATATATTATTATATAAATATATAATATAAATATATATTCTGTTGAGAAAATATCTACTTTTATTTGCTTTAAAACTTCTATATCCCATTTCTTAGTTTTATTCAATTTATGATGGAACTATATGATCAGGTAAATTATTGTTAAAATACTGCTTTTAGTAAAACAGATTATCATTTAATTTACTTTTATGCATGTTTTCTATGTCACCAGAAGTCATTTGATGTATATTTTTATATTTTCTGATTTTTAAAATTTAGTTTTGGAATAAATTAAAAAAAATATACCATGTAAATAGTATAGTTATAAATATATATATCTCTGAGATATGAATCTCTTTATGTGGGTAAATGTAAAATCTTGGGTAAGAACCCTTTTCCAAATATCGTCACTCCATGGTCTTCTAGCATTTAATGTTAAGCAAAATGTCTAATTTTTTAGAGATAAGTTTTTTTCTCCTTTAATAATGTTAAGATTGTTTATTTCTTTTCTTAAAATTTATAATTTTTACCAAAGTCTAGGTCTATATTCTTTTCATTAAATTTATCTGACAATGGTGAGGTATTTTAACTTATATAATTATAACTTTCTCATTTCAGTAGAATTCTCTTCTTTCATATTTTCATTATTCAATTTAATATATTTGTATTATTTATGCCTTAATTAGATAACCTTTGTTAATTTTCTTACCTATCATCTTCACTTGATTTAATCTTCTTGTCCTTTTATTTTCATTCATAGAGAGTTTTTTAGTTTTGCTTTCTGGATCACAGATTTTAATTTTACAGGGCTAATTCTGATTTTTACTGCTTCTATGTTCCCTTTTTAATTTTTTAATTTATTTTAAAAATTATTTTATTGCTGTTCAAGTACAGTTGTCTCCATTTTACCCTCCATCCCCCCCACACCACTCACCTGCACCTTTCACCCTCAACTCTGCCCCCTTTGGTTTTGTCTATGTGTTCTTTATACACATTCCTTGATGACCCTTTTCTATTTTCCCCCATTATCCCTCTGCTCCATCCCCTCTGGTTACTATCAGTTTGTTCTTTATTTCAATGTGTCTGGTTACATTTTACTTGCTTATTTATTTTGTTGATTAGGTTCCAGTTATAGGTGCAATCATATGGTATTTGTCTTTCACTGCCTGGCTTGTTTCACTTAGCATAATGCTCTCCAGATCCATTCATGATATTGTGAAGGATAGGGGCTCCTTCTTTCTTTCTGCTGCATAGTATTCCATTGTGTAAATGTACCATAGTTTTTTGGTCCATTCCTTTACTGATGGGTACTTAGGTTGCTTCCAACAATTGGCCATTTTAAGTTGTGCTGCCATGAACACTGGAGTCCATAGGTTCTTTTGAATTGGTGTTTCAGGGTTTATATGAGATGCAAGGATGGTACAACATTCACAAATCAATAAATGTAATACACCATATAAACAAAAGGAAAGATAAAAATCACATGATCATATGAATAGATGCAAAAAAAGCATTTGATAAGGTACAGCACCCATTCATGATAAAAACACTCAGCAATGTGGGAGTAGACGGAGCATACCTTAACATAATAAAGGTCATATATGAGAAACCTACAGCCAACATCATACTCAACAGGCAAAAACTAAAAGCTTTTCCACTAAGATCAGGAGCAAGACAAGGATGTCCACTTTCATCACTTCTATTCAACATAGTATTGGAAGTCTTAGACACAGTGATCAGATAAGAAAAAGAAATAAAAGGCATCCACATTGGAAAGGAGGAAGCAAAACTGGCACTGTTTGCAGATGACATAATAGGGTACATGTAAAACCCTGTAGACTCCACCAAAAAACTACTCAATCTAATAAGTGAATTTGGCAAAACAGCCACATACAAAGTTAATATCCAGAAATCAAAGGCATTATTGTACACTAACTACAAAATATCAGAAGCAGAAATCAGGAAAAAATATCATTTGATATAGCAACAAGAAAAATAAAGTACCTAAACTTAGGTACTTTAGTACCTAAGGAATAAACTTAACCAAAGAGGTAAAAGAACTTTACTCAGAAAACTACACAACACTGAAGAAAGAAATAAAGAAAGACACAAATAAATGGAAATATATACCATATTCATGGATTGGAAGAATTAACCTCTTCAAAATGTCCATATTATCAATGTTAATTTTTTGACCTAATACTAAATTTATTTTTGTTTATTTAGTTTTCTTTTTTCATGTAGCTTTAAAAATGTTTTTTTTTCCATGCCTCCTAACCTTTTTTTTTTCCCATTGCAGTGGTTGTCTTCTCATCTTATCTCTTATTTTACAGACTTCATGTATTCTTGAATTTCCTTGAGAATGTAAAGTTAAAGTTGATGAAGCATATGTAGTTATTTTCAAATTTTAGTTCTTTACAGCCCCTTACTCTACATTATTGTTATTGCTTTAAGGTCAATAGTTTTAGGATAAGGTGTTAACCAAAGCTGAAAATTTCCCCAATAGAGTATTGGTGAGGTCTTCTTGAATTCTCTTCTTGTTACTTCGATGATTTTTAAGATATGATGCTCTCATATCTTAGGCTGAAGTTCTGCTTGATGTAAGTTTATATCACCAGTTCAGTGATTCAGTAGACCTAAGGGAGTGAGAAGAGATTCAGAAACATGGGTTGCACCAGGATGTGTGATTTCTTCTCTGTACTTGGTGAAACCTGCCACGCCAGGCACCAGCTCTTGGAATCTATAAATTTTCTTGTCCTCCATTTCAATTATAGGTGGAGCTGTGTTAGCCCTCTGGATACTCATTCTTCTCTGATCAAGAAGAGGTTGGGCCTGGAAGGAACCCCTCTGTCTCTAAGTTTGTGTTCTGCAAAGTCTGTGCTTGCCCTTGAACCTCCTCAGAGCACTGCTTCAAAAAGGCTATTGATTGGTAAAAATAGAGGAGGTCCCATCTGTTTTATAACTAAGTTACCATGGTACTCACCATCATGTAAATCACAACACTTATAAAAATGACAGAAGGCTCAATTACAATTAAGCTGGAACAGTAAGTGCAAACCCAGACCGTCTCAGCCAACTTGGGCATGTGGTCACCCTTCCTATGATCCACCACTATCTTAAGCAACTACCCATTCAAATTTGTGAGTATTATTGGGTGTCTATAAAGTTATTCTTTATAATTAATATATATGAACTTAATAATTTCTAATAACAATAACAATGGTGGCAGTAATAAATATTCATTTATTGGATGTTTACTATTATTATAATTTCTTCCGTGGTTTCATAAGGAAAATTCATATCTATACACAGATTTTGAACCCTTTCCTTCTCAAAGTCCCAGGAAACTTCTATCACTGGTGTCCAATTTTTAAAGAAACTCATTTAAAATTATAGCTGACATATAATATTACTTTTAGATATACAACATAGTGATTCAACATCTGTACAGTTTACAAAAGGATCACCACAATAGATCTAGTAACCGTCTGTCACCATACACAGTTCTTACAATATTATTGACTTTATTCCCTATGCTGTATATTATATTTTTGCAAGTTATTTTATAACTGAAAGTTTATACTTCTTAACCCCCCTCCCCTTCTCCATTCTTCCCCATCTTCTACCCATCTGGAAATCATAAGTTTGTTCTCTGTATTTGTGGATTTGCTTCTGTTTTGTTTTGATTTTTGTATTGTTTTGTTTTTTAGATTCCACATGTAAATGAAATAATTCAGGATATTCTTTTCTCTGTCTGACTTATTTCACTTAACATAATACTCCTCATCTATGGTATCTCAGACTAGATTTCATTCTTTTTTTTTTTCTTATGACTGAGTACTGGCCCCTGATTTTTGAAGTGCATTGATGTTATTGGAAAAGAGAAGACAGAACCCACTGATTGTCTCTTCCTTGCCTCTTCCTCCCTCTCCACCTCACCTCCATTCTGTATAGTTGTCCTTTGGTCATTTCACATATGTTACCTTTTGTTCTCAAATAGATGGTAAACTTCTTGAGAAGAAGAACCTTGACTCCTGAGTCTTTGACATTCTCATAGCTCCTAGTTTGGTGTCCTCCCCCCGCCACTCCCACCCCATGCTACATTCTTCCTGAATGTGTCTATAGTTCTGGGGGCAGATATAGGTTTTTTCAGACAATTTTTAACCTTCCCTGTCCTAGTTGTCATTACAACTTAACATCTGTTCCAATATTTCTGTTATAGTTGGATTTTATTCAACTTTTAATTCCACATTTCATCTCAAGAAGTAAATTAAACAATTAGCTTTGGTTACATAAATTTTCCTTTCTTTAATGGAGTAAAATTACAAGTATTTTAAGACAAACTCTAAATCTGAACAGAATAGTTATGATGACATAATTTTATATAATGAGAATCAACCTTAAATAGTGGAATTACAAGCTGAGAAGAGCTATTCAGTCATTATTAGGTCATCTACACATACTTAGCAAGACATTAACTTGGAGAGTGCCTAGATCTCTTTTTCTTGCCTTCTGTTTTTTAATTGGGCAATTATTATTTGATTGATGATTAAATTACATTCAATTGATTAAAGTTTCTACTTGAAAAGGAAACTTAAAGTTTTTAGCTATTTGATTATGTGAGGAAAGATGTGCCATAAGTTGTTTAAATCATCCTAAAGATGAGAAGTGAAAAGCAAAATTTTAAAAAGCTTAATGAGTCTTGACCTTTGTAATTGATTTTTACCTGGAAACTAGAAAAAAATCCAATACTCCCAATTCAGCAAATTATTGATTCAGACTTTACCCATTAAGCTGCACCTTCATTTTGTGCTAGGTGAACTGATTAAAACTGGTCTGACTATGTATTATCATATTTTGTTTTACTAGATGAGAGAAGAGCAAAAAGAAGATAGTCACTTCTAATACAGATTCTAAGTTCCTTGAGAGCAATATATAAATCTTAAACTTCTTTGCATCCTTTCTTTGACTTAGCATCTAGCACAATTCTTTGGGTATGGCCATTACTATGAAGATGTTGAACCAAATTTTTAATTATTCATTTTAGCAGACTTGGGACATGCTGTCTGTAAGAACATTGAAGACGCTTCTCATCTTAAGAGCTTTCTTATTTCAGGTTCAGCTCATGCTTAGCCTTTTCTTTTTCACAAAATCGCCACATCTAATGTTAGGATTTCCTATGATGAAAATTGAAAACTCGAATTACCTACTCACTCTCAAGTGCATGTCTTTCTTTTGATCTATGTAACATTTCAAATCTAGTTTTCTGAAAAGATACATCAATAATGGAATATTATCTGTAGAGTTTTGTTCAGTTCACACTTCTGCCACAAATTTTTCACCTAAAAACCATTACCTGCTTGGGTCTTAGTTTGCAGAGATTGTACTGCTGTCCTGAAGTGATTTTCACTGTGTGTTTTAAAATCCCCAGTGTGTATCAGGATTAGGGATGCGGTGCTGCTGATATTATGGCTATGTAAAATAATATAAAAATATCTTTCCTGCATTGCATATCATATTCCTCTGCCCTGATATCAATAATATACTGTGCAAAGTCTCCAAAAGCACCTTCCACAATACATTATAAGAGGAGTATAGGTCTTAGAATCAGAAGGTTTAAGTGTGGGGTCTCTGGGGTTTTAGGCAAGGCTGAATCTCCATCAGCCTCTTTTCCCATCTACCAGAAATGATTAATAATATCTAGTTTATTAGATTGTTATGAGCAAAAAATGAAATAATGTATGGTAAATAAACAAACAAAGACAACACTACACACAGCAGGGTGTTCTACACATGATGGACAGTTATTATCACATTATTATATTTTTCCTTAGGTTCAAAGCTTCCATTTCTCCCCCCTCTATTGTTTTAGGCTATGCTTACTGCTAATCAATTCAAGAAATAGTTATTATCTGTTAGACTGATTATAAGGTTTTCAAGATTTGAAATTCTTTCATTCCTGAAGTGTAAATAGTGACAACTATAGAAATAAAGTGTGCCCATGATGGCATCCTTGCCCCAAATCAGATTCATATTCCTTTGTTTTCTCATGAGATTCTGCAAGACTGTATGGCTGACCCAAGGATGAAATTCTCTGTAAAGTCCATAGATATATGACCCACGTTATATAACTCAGGACTTTGGCTTTGTGCCCACTTGTGGTTTTCCCACAAGTACACTAGACTGGAGTTTTTAGTATAAGATATGAGGATCTTTACACGTTCGCTTTACAAAGTACACTCCCCGGAGAAAAGCCCCCCCAGGTGTCCTGACAATTGAAGTTGGGAAATGTTGGTTCTAGACTGCATTTCTACAATGTATGGACTAGGTAGGAATCAAGATCCAATTCTTTATCCTTCATGTACTTAATCAACTTAGACTTCTCCTGTTTCAGCCTCTCCAATGTTCTATAGTTTTTACCTTCTTAAAAATGCTAACAATATTTTAAACAAACACTCCCAGTCTACTGTAAAGACTATTTCTGTGCTCTGCCAGGTAAGACATCATTTGGCATGAGTATCAGGAATGTCAGATTACAAATAAATTTCCATTCATAGGCCCTTATTCAAAACTGGTCCTTTTCTATACAGTGCACTTGTGGCATATAGTAGGCTTTTATTTAATGATCACTAAGCATGTACACAGATGAGTAAATTATGACTGGAGCTGATTTCCAAGTTGTAGGGAGAATGGTTGCTGATTTACACATTTTCCTTCTGCAGAAGCATCTCTGCAGCTAATCAGCCTCTGGGTTTGCCTTGCTTATTTCTGTTTTTGCAGGACATACCATGTCCTGCTCCCAGATGCATTGCCCCAGTGCCTTAGCATAAGCAGTTCACCCAGACGGGATTGCAGACCAGCCTCTAGAAACAATATCCAAAGGAGCACTGTGTGCGTGTGTTCTGAAGATGGAAATGATTATCATAAAAGATGTAAGAGGAATTATGTCAGGAATTCTCTCCAGATCTCCACTTTAGCAAGCCATCCTGTTTTGCATTACAGAATCACATTATGTTCTACAGCTCCTCTGTGGCTGTTTGGTGTTGGTCATGGATTTGTGAGAGATTGGGGTCAAAGTCTGCAATGTTTACAAACACAGGAGAAAAGTCAGCAAGAGATGGCCAAATCCAAATATGATCTTTATGATTCACTAAGTGGCTAGTCATTTGACCTATAAACAGAAAGCATGGTTTCTGGCTATGCAAGGTGTTCCCTGAACTCAGAGCTTTAAATAGTGTAACCAAATAAAATCATTCATCTACACTTCAAGTGCTGGCAAGCTGGCCCCTTCCTGATGCCAGGGTTTCTGCCTAATACCTGGTATAGTTTTTTATGGACTAAAGCTTAAAAAGAGCCACGGGAGCCAAGAAATATATATGTGTTCATGATGAATTAAGAGCCTGGAAATAACTGCAAGCCATTTGAACTGGGCTAGTGGGGTTTTCCCACAGCTTTGGTCTTGAGAGCCAGTGATCAGTAAAAAGCAGACAATGATATTCAGAAGCAGATAGCAGATCTTGATAATTTAGTTTCTTTCTGAGGGTGTCTTACTCAGGCAGATCTAACTGTTGCGTCCCTCTGCCTACCTTTAGACAAGACACCTCTTTTGATTTACATGTGGAAGTTTTGTGGAAAT